TTTGATTTTTAGCCTTTTAAGATTGTTGCCTGTGAGAATATATTTTGGAGTGTGTCCACATACAGTCTTTTTGAAGAACTCCCATTTTTGTGTTGTGTTCATTAATGCCAATTTTCCCTCCCAGTCTAAGTCTTGGAGAGCAGCTCTCAGCCTTGGAAAATTAGCTCTCTTAAAATTGAGCGTTTTTATTTTTCCCATATGTGCTTGCTGTTTACAGCTAACAATAAATGAAATCATGTTATGCTCACTGCTACCCAGATGTTCTTTTACATGGACATTTGTAATAAGCTCTGCATGGTTTGAGATTACCAGGTCCAGCAGAGCATCATTCCTAGTTGGGGCCTCTATGAACTGTACCACAAAATTGTCCTGTAATAGGCTTAACAATGTTTGCTCTTTAACCGTTCCTGCAGTACCATTACTCCAGTCAATTTCCAGGTAGTTAAAATCCCCCATTATTATCACTGTCCCAGCCCTTGCAGCCTTTTCGATCTGTGCAAGGAGCTGAGTCTCCACCTCCTCATTAACACTGGAAGGCCTATAATAAACTCCAATGATTACCTTTGTAGTACGCACCCCCATGTGCAGTTCTACCCATAATGCTTCAGCCTCATCACACTCTCCATCAACTAGGTCCTCTTTCACAGTCGCTCTGAGATCACTTCTCACATAGAGATAGACACCACACCTTTCCTATTTACTCCGTCTCTGCGAAAGAGAACATGGCCATGGCTCTACTGTAGGCTGTGCATACAGGACAAATTACACCATGAAACTACATGGTCAATGCACATCTTATGCAAGTATAAACCTCAAGGTGCAAGTAGGAAGGGTTACAATGCCTTTAATCCAATGATATTATGGAGCCCAGAGACTTTGGATCAGCGTGACAGCCAGGCGACGAGCATTTTCAGAAGTATAAGCAAGCAAATGCAGCCTCCACATTTTTCATGCCAGGTTGAATATCTTGGTATATAATCATTTGAAATGTCCAACTGACTGTGTCCTGGAGTGCATTTCTGTATGGGCAGGATTAGTGGTTAACTTTCTCTATAGGCCAGTACTGCAATACCGCTCATACTGCTCCTGAAAAAGTGCTCTTTTGAATGCAGTCTCTGCATTGTCAGTTGACATCTTGCAAGGCTGTCCCTTGTTATCAGCACCTTACACGCAAGCATACACCGAAGCAATGGGGTGCAATTATAAATGATTGTCTAATGGTCTAATGAGAACCAGAATGACAGCAAATATCCAGCTCTTGCTGTATAATGTTTTTGAAGCATGGTCACAATGTAAGTGCTCCTTTTACTGCAGGTAGCACAGTCCTAAAATAAAGATAATATATGCAAATGGCACAGAAATATGAAGCATCCTGTGCTAGTGAGGGTTCGCCCACAGCAGTCTATAAACAGCACAGCGTACATGTCTAAATGAGCAGACGACAGCAGAGGAGACAGTGCAGAGAGGTAACAGGGTATTATTCATTACACTCTGCTGATGGCTGCAGGGAAGCATGTCAATCTTGTGCCACGTAAGGGAAATAACTTGTTATAAGTAATATTTTAATATTATTATCGCGGAAAATATATTCGCTCAGAAAGCTGGTTCATATTGTTACATATAACAACGTAATGGACAATTAAAGAACATATAGCCACACTGAACAGAAGTCCATAGGCTGAATAACTGCAGTGCAACCAAGGTGACTGTACAGTATATGGCTAGCTGGGTCAGCAGGGCCCAGCCACCCTGTAATAAACTTTTTTCCATTTTTCATTATGGGAAATAAGCTAGATCTTTTTTTGTCCAAGTTGGATTTCTCATTTGTTTTACTGAATGAGAGTGACCTTGACTCCAGAGTGAAGATGCTGCACGAGAAGTTCAGATTACAATTTTCCCCGTGTGGTTCTAAAGCATGTGCCTGTTCTCCATATGTTCTTTCTTTCTCATTACCTTTTGAAATAATCATAATTATGAATTAATTCCTCCAGTCATGCCAACAGTTCCATCCCTTTAATTCTTGGATACAGATTGCGTAGCTGTGTGGTTCCTATGTAAAATATATCCCAGGATGGAGCTGATTCCTTCAGTCCTGTGATGCAGTGCAGTTTCAAGAATTAAATAACTATTTTATGTTTCAACACCAGAAACATAATGTAGCCCTCTCCTAGTCGGTTGCTAGTAGAATCAGGTAAATTTAGTTTTTGTCTCCTCTGCAGCCAGTGGAGCAGAGTTCAGCTGCTTTTGGCTGGTCTGGGTCCTGCTGGTTGCAGATTCAACTACTTCCCCCTGAAGAGGCAGACCCTGTGCTGACTATTCATACAGCCTCAGCCAATCACTGGTCAAGGGAGTGACCAGAAGGGGGCTAAGATGTGTACAAATAGTCTAGGGCAGGGTTGTCAAACCGGCAGCCCTCCAGTTGTTGCGAAACTACAAGTCCCATCATGTCTCTGTCTTTGGGAGTCATGCTTCTAAGTGTCAGCCTTGCAATGCCTCTTGGGACTTGTAGTTTATCAACAGCTGGAGGGTTGCTAGTTTGACACCCCTGGTCTAGGGCCTGGTGTCTCTTTTCCTGGTGGAAGAGACCCAACCTGGAGGGACTGCTGCCCATCTAAGCAGATTAGCTGAAGACTGCAGGTCTGAGGTTCAACGAGGTCCACGCTCAAGAAGAGCTGGAGGGCCTTTTTGATAAAGCTGCTGAGAACAGTTGAGAGAATGTCTGTACAGGATCTGGCTGGGTGGCTTATAGTACAGGGTCTGGCTGGTATTGGAAGGAGGCATCCATGTATACAAGGACACACTGGGGGAGATTTACTAAAGCTGGTTCACTCAGAATCGTGTGCACTTCTGCATAGTAACCAATCAGCTTCTAGCCTCAGCTTGTTCAGTTAACTTTAGCATGAAAACCTGGAAGCTGATTGGTTTCCATGCAGAAGTGCACAAGACTCTCAGTGAACCCCAATAAATAAACCCCAGTGAGTAGAGGCCTGAGAGAGATCCTGGAGAGACTGTTGCTGTTTCACCCTTTGTGAGAGAATGTTCCTGAGTTGCTGGCTTAGGGGCTGCTTCCAGAGTGGGAGTCCCCTAGGCTGTATGTCCATTCTCTTTTATCACAAGTTCATTCTGAGGAGTTTAGGTAGTTTCAGTTTGCACTAGATTTAGAATATCCCAAGGCTCCCCCAACACGCCAACCAATTTAAATCAGCATTAAACTTCAAAAAGAACCCTTGCTGCCTGATCATTTTGTTGAGAGATTGGGAACTGCTGTGTGCCTGGCTGCTCGTACCCACTAGAACCCACTTGTATAGACCTTGGGACAAGAGCAAGGTCCCACATGGGGTCAGTGTGCTACAATAACAATAGTGAATATTTGAGCTAGTTAAACAAAATTTGAAAGATGCTATTTTTTTTATTGTGAGTTTACTTTTATAATCAAAAATTTGGTAATGTTAAATAAATGACCAAAAAGACTGTAAAGAAGAGCATTTGGTACATTCAGCCCCTTGGATATTTTACAATATTCCCAAATTCTGGAGAAATAAACATTCTTATACTATGGTCAACATTAGTGAATGTTGCTAAGTAGCTTACAGTCTAATAATTCTGAGCTATACAGATAAACACTGGGGTCAGTATGGGTAGAAGCCATAGAAAAACCAGAGCACACAGGGATAACTTACAAACACCATGCAATTATTGTCCCTAGTGGAATTTAAACCTGACCATATTCAATTGACATGCAATGCAAACCATAAACTTAAACTTTGGTTGCTATTCCTTATAAATTACCACTGACTAGGGCTCCTGAGAGACACTGTAAGAAGTGTAAGGCTACATGTACACTAGCCTACCCAGACTGCTGGCTGCGGGAAAATGCAAACTCTGCCAAAAACGCATGTAAACACAGTACCGTTTTTACATGCGTTTTTGCTGCATTTTGCATTTTCCTGTGGTCAGCGGTCAAATCTTTCCTATCCTGAATGCAATTCTTCTGTGTTCAGGAGGGAGGTTTAACCTCACCTAAACGCTTCAGCTCCTAAACTCTGCTAAAAGCCTATATGTACATGGACACATAGGGGGTTATTTACTAAAGCTGGTTCAATCAGAATCTCGTGCACTTCTGCATAGAAACCAATCAGCTTCCAGGTTTTACTGCTAAAGCTTAATTGAACTAGCTGAGGTTAGAAGCTGATTGGCTGCCATGTACCACTGCACCAGATTCTGCATGAACCAGCTTCAGTAAATAAACCCCATAGGCTTTTATGAAGTTGAGTTTAGGAGCTTTGGTAAAAAAACACCAAAAGCTATTAAACTCAAGTTCAGGAGCTGCCAGTTTACATGAAGCCTGAGGGGGACAGGCTGTACTGGTATTGGCAACGGTACGCCATGCACAAGATGGGGACACCCAGAAAGAGTCCAGCAAGTTTGTCCTTTTTTTTCAGCAAGGCACTAAACAAATAGCAGGAGGGCCATGTACAGCAAGTCCATTACATCTGCTTATTTGAGCTACAGACTAAATCCAGGTCAGCTTCTGACTAATGAGTTGCCTCCTAATGGGTTCCCTAAAACAAGCAGGCAACCCTTTTAGTTTTTTGTCAGCACTCAGCTTTTTTTCACCCAGCAGCAGGCTCACACAGTAGAGAAAGGAAGAGAGAGGACACCCTGAATATCAGTCATCTCTCATGTAAAAAGGCCCATATACACTTGAGATTTATACCAAGGTCTGGCTAAAAGGCAAGATGTGGCTTTATCCTGCCCAAAACTTTACAAAGCCTCCTCGTTCCAGGACCTAGAGCAGAACATATTAAGATTCTGAGAAAACAAAAAGTATGTTTTGTTCTTAATGGACGCAGACCCTGGAGCCCCTCACTATGTGTAGGTGAGAAACCTAGGTGGCCCGTATACGACGTCTGCAATCCTGCCAGCCAGTGCTTCACAAAAGCCTAGTATACATATTCAACCTGTTACTGCAGTATGTTTTTTTTTCTCTTTATTTGCAGTTTATGAAGAGCCAGAGGATCCCAGCAACAGGTCATTTTTTTCTGAGATCATCTCATCAGTTTCGGATGTCAAATTCAGTCACAGTGGCCGGTACATGCTCACACGCGATTACCTCACGGTTAAAGTTTGGGACCTGAACATGGAGACCAAACCCATTGAGACATACCAGGTAAAGGAGCCAGCCTGTGAGAACACCAGCTCAAATGTAATAAGATTTTTCCAAGCCTGGTGCAGCAATAATGTCCATATGAGTTACGGCAATAGCCAGATAACATTGTGGAGCTCATGCACAAACATGTAAGATACCCTTTTGCTGGTGTCAATGACTCTCTAGTGGATTATACATAAAAGAAAAAGGAGAGTTCACTTCAGAGAGAAATCATGAAGGTATTCTTAAAGAGACCTTTCCATAAACAGCTTTCCTGGTGCCTACATAGCAGCATACACATGGTTGGTAGATCCGTCCACATCCAACCCACAGGATCAATATAACTATAAAAGAAAGTGAAGGTTTACCCCAACCCCCTGCACCCCATTCTCGTAATTAGACCCAAACATCACATTAAAAACAGCTTTTTTTAGTGGCTGTTACCTCAGGTCACAGATTCTCAGAAATACAAGCCCTAGGCTCTCAGGATCCCTATATCATATTCTACCCAGACAGGGTAGTCCTTCAACCTATTCATCAGTTCGTACCCGAGGTTCCATCTATATATCACTCCACTCAAACATGGGTTTTGCCAGCGTTCCCAGAAAAGCAGGATTAATCATGATTACATGAATTGGATGTGACAATACCCTCTACCCCTTTGGGAAGATGAGGGTTTATTTGTAGTGCCTAGGGGGGCAAGAGGAGGATGAGCAGCAATAAAACAGGCAATAACTGGGTTGATTGTTATTATACACAGGGCTTACCGGGCTAGTGGTGTTTCTGTCCATCAAGAAGTGAATGCTCATTCGACAAGGGGAATTTCATCATCATGGGCAGCTCTAGCAAAATATTGTCCAGAGATAATGTGTTGGGCAGCAAGCTGGTCTTCATTCTCAATGTTTATGTCCCAATACAGCCTGGATCCAGCCAGTCTCACCTCTCAAGATTTTGGGAGAAAAATCTTGCAGGTTTCTGTGCCATAATGTCTAAATACATTTTTTTTCAGCAGCACTTTCCCTCCCCGGTAGTGAGTTATTTGCCATATGTATGCTACCATGTAGGCACCATGAAAATGGAAAATTGAAAACTTACCTTTCCATAATTTTCCTTTCCTGGTGCCTATCCATTGTATCTGTTCTTGTGACTGATTTGAGTCTAGTTACGATAATGCGGCGGGGAGGGTGCTTCGCTTTCTTTTATAGAGTTATATTGGTCCTGTGGGTTGGATGTGGGTGGAACTACCAACCATGTGTACTCTGCCATAGATAGGCACCAGGAAAGGAAAATTACAGAAAGGTAAGTATTACATTTTCCGTTTTTTGTTCACTTGAAATCTGCCTTGGAACTCACAGAAAAGCTAACTATTCTAAGAAGAGTGAATTCCCTACCACAACAATAGTTCCTCCAGCCTTCTTGCATGTCATAGCCCTCTCCTATTCTGGGAATGTCTGCGCTGGCCCAGCTTCTCCACCCCCCCCCCCCCCCCTTTCACCTTCCTGCATAACTTTTTAATTTAGCTGCTGAGGAAGGTGTGCATGGAGTAGTATGGAGTGTCACTTGAGTGACAGCTCTGAATCTGCTGGGTCTGCTGACATCACACCCAAGATGGCAGTGCCCAGCAGCAGTCCCAGACCTATTGGATGCATACACAAGGGATGATTTGTCAGGTAACAGCATGCATGAAATACAGTATATCAAATGCACAAATCATTTTATGTGAAGAATGTTGTTAAAGGATAAGTTCACCTTTCGTAACATGTTACATGTTACACCCTTATTCAGGGTTTAACATGTAACATGTTACGATCAGACTGGCCACCACTCCCCGCTTTGACAGCTAGTGGGGGATTTTCTCCTCCCTGCTTGCTGTCAAATATTTCAAAAAACGTGCCCGGCCGTGTCACTCATTTACAGTCTTCTGTGAATGAGAGACTTCAAGTCCTGACAGCCTGGTGGCTGTCAACTTGTAGTCCTCAATGAACTACTACGGCAAATGTATATTATATAGGGCGCGCTTGTTGGAGCCCAACCTCTGTAGCTGTAGGAAAAAGGTGCCAGGTGAATATCTGGGATGGATGGATGGGAACAGTAACACTGAGGCAGCTCTTCTTAGAGTGGAAGCAAGGCTCTAATGCAGTAACAAGAAAAAGAGAGGAAGACTCCTCTAAGAGCAGTATTGACCATTTATTTAGTAAACAATAGATAAATTGCACTTACAAGATAAATAGTTAAAAAGACTCATTGTGTGATGTATTAAGATCCAGGTGGGACATCCAGCCGTTCAGCAGCAAACTCTGTCTATAGGATCAGTAAGTAGAGTCCAGGATGTGCCTGTGCATCAAAATGAAGCTTGGAGTGCAGAGTTGGATGTAAGAGGTGAAGGGGGCGGTAATGCATTTCAGAGCATGCTCAATAGGCTCCTTCTCAGTTTACTAAATAAATTGTCAATATTGCACTTAGAGGCGCCTTCCTCTCTTTTTCAATGAACTGCTATGGCCCTGTGGAGCGCCGTAGTAGTCCATTCGTTATTCCTGTAAGTATATCTGCATGCTCGTACATCCCAAGCAGATATACTGACAAATCTGCAGAAGACCTGCATGGCACCAGTGATATGCTAATCGCAGTTGCAATGCTTTACAGGCTCCTGCAGACAAAAATAATAAAAGCACATTTTTTTACCTAAAAAAAATAGTGCATTTATTATTTTTTACTAAAAGGTGAACTTATCCTCCAAAGAAAAGGATCTTACCAGTGTCCCTTAAAATCTCACCCATCAAGAAATTAGAATGGTGGCTGCCATTGCTGGGCTCCTGAGAGTGCAGGTTGCCTGGCTTTCTCCGGTGTAATACTTTTGAGTCATTGACTTTGAAAAAGCATGCATTGAATGAGTGTTAGAAACATGAACAGAATGTCTTATTGCTATACATGTTCTATGTCAGTGATGTAGAAAGCTTTGAAACCAAAGTATCAGTCTACATTGCTCTTTCAGGGCAAAATGAAAAGGCCTTCTGCTAGCCACCCCCTCCCAGGAAGGTATACTTACAGATTCAGGACTAGGAGAATGCAGGAGTTCTTGCTGGGGTCAGATGGTGTGGGAGATTACCAGGTGGATGACATCAATACCACTTCTAACATGGCCATATTTGGCTGTGGTGATTGACTGCTTAGACACAAGCACTGTCACATATGGGAGGTCATCTGTACCCCTATACCTGGAAGCCCCGATCCATTAGATCAGGGGTTCTTGGTCCATGAATAAGTTCACGGGGGGTCTGCGAGGGTCAGATAAAAATGTATAAGTCTTATTTATTTATTTCAGGTACTTATATAGCACCGTCAATTTTATGCAGCGCTTTACATATATATTATACATTCACATAAGTTCCTAACCTTGAACCTGAAGTGGCTTAAAATCTAAGGTCCCTAAATCACATTCATACATACACATACTAGGGCCAATTTAGACAAGATCTAAAAGCATGTCTTTGGAGTGTGGGAGGAAACCCACGCAGGCACAGGGAGAACATGCAAACTCCAGGCAGGTGGTACCATGGTTGGGATTTGAACCAACGACCCGAGTACTGCCAGGTGGAAGTGCTAACTATTTAGCCACTGTGCTGCGCTTCTGTTGTGCCTTGACACAAACCGACCCTCATTTGGTGGATCTAACTTTGAGCATTCTAATTCCCTTTGCTTCTACATACTTTTGTGAATGGAGGGGGGAGAGTGATAGAGAGAGAGGGAGAGTGATAGAGTAGTAGTATTAATGGTAGTAGTAAATATATTAGTTACTAGCAGTAGTAGGAGTAGATTTGAGCAGAGTTAAAATAATATTGTTTAATTTGCACAAGATGATTGTATTTCATTTTTTTAGTTTTTGTCGAACCTTATGTTATCATAAATGTATGAGGCAATCAAATTTCAATAAAACAAATTAAATATATATTCATTGCATGCAAAGTTGTGTTTTTGTGACTATTTCTGTTGAGGAGATCCAAAGCTGTCATCAGATTCCTAAAAAGGGTCCATGACTAAAAAATGGTTAAGAACTACTGCGTTAAAGCAAGAGTGAGGTCTCTGATGTGGCAAGGGGTGAGCGAAGGAGTATGGATTTATGAGTATATCTTGCAGGGTGGGAGAGCTATCAGCAGACACTATTACCGGACCCTGAATGGGCAAATTGACAGTGTCATCACGGTATCATGTGATATGTCAAAGCAGATGCTGATTATTCAAGAACATGACCAGAGGTGGGAAAAGCTGTGAAAGCATATTTCTCTAATCTTCATATTTCAGTTGAGGTCACTGAGTTGCCCATGTGGTATTAATGCTATAGTATGTTTCTGTCACTTCGAACTGAGGAAACCACTTGGATGCGTAAAGAAATGTCTTCAGTATTATAGAACAAATCTAGTTGGACGTGAATGCTCTGTGGCCTACTCAACCCTAAAAGCTTTAGATAGTGTCCCTGTAAGACAAATTATAACTGAGGATACTGAAGTTTTGCAAAGTAAATATTCAGCAATATAATTTTTTTTTCCTGCAGGTTCACGATTACCTTAGGAGTAAATTATGTTCCCTCTATGAAAATGACTGCATTTTCGATAAGTTTGAGTGTGCCTGGAATGGCTCGGACAGGTAACACTTCACTGTTGTTATGAAAAGCATTATTACACAAAACTGTATGTGACCATTGACCATTTAATGCCAGGTTTGATTATTTAATAAGAAATGTACTAAGCAGCAATAAGAATATCAGAGGGAATTGTCACAAACTACGGCAGTTCAATTTCCTTTGGAATGCTTGCATTGTGAAAATTACAGAGAAAATACTGAGTCTGTACATTCAAAGGAAAGACCCTCAGAGTATGAGTAGGGTGAGTGCTCTATCTGACTGTAACTGGGTTCATCTATTAAATAATACATTGCTCATCAACTTATCTTATTAATATTTCTTGTGCATTGGCAGTGAGAATTGTCTGGGGTTGCAGGTGCCACAAATGACATTCATATCACTGTATTCTAAAAAATGTATCTCTGACCCCTAAGTTTTCATAGGCTGAGGAACTCTATATAGGCATGATTTCCGTTCACCCTCTGCCTATGAAATCCTTCTTGCCATCAGTGGATGCCGAGGCACATCTGGGGAATGGGGCTTTGGCCTTATGGGGCATTCAGCACTCTTAAAGGTGGGGGTGCCATACACCTACAATGCCCTCAATTACGTGGACCATGAAGAATTAATATGCAAAAAAAACTTTCACTACTACTTTTCCTTTAAACCAGCTTTTCATTTACTTACTTATTTTTGAAAAATAGTATATTTTGTTTTTTAGAAGTCTATACATTATGCCATAAAGAGGGACAACTGAGGAGGAAAAAGGGCAGAGGGACTTGGACCCAAAAGAGTGACTGTTCCATCAAATGAGAGACAGATGGGAGCTACAGTATGTGGTTGGAAGTGCCCACTGATGCTGCAATTTGCAAATAGCTTTTTGTGGCTGCTTGTATGTTTATGCTTTTGGCTCACTACACCTTTGCCTTAGACATCATGGAATGCTTTTGAGAGCATTTGAAACATGCACCAAGCACCCATTTGTATGTCTGTGATTAAAGGGGCATAACTGTGAGAATTAGAATATTGTTATTAGCATCTACAAAAATCTATAGCATGAGGACAGAAATATATATATATATATATATATATATATATATATATATTTACCAGACTTTCAGAAGATCACTACACAATGTTGGACATACATGTAGCACTAATTAGCGTGGAGGAAGGGATACTCCAGTGAATGGATAGCACATGTGCTCCCTATTTAAGCAATTCCCCTTCCTGTTCATTAGACAATAAATTTAGCAGGGTCACACTTGTCGTGTAGGTAAAGAGCTGACCCAGATAGCAGCAGTGCTAAAATAGAGTTTCAAAATTGCTGTAAAATCTTAAAAATATCAGTAACATGTATGAAGAGCTGTGATTTTTCAATTTCTGGGGTAAAATGTTAAGAGTCTTGGTTTAAACATTGATAATGATTGATATGCATGATTACGCCACTTCAAAGAATGTTTATTTCCTTTTAGTGTCATCATGACCGGTGCATACAACAACTTCTTTAGAATGTTTGATCGGAACACAAAGCGGGATGTAACCTTGGAAGCCTCCCGGGAAAGCAGCAAGCCCCGAGCCGTCCTTAAACCACGCAGAGTTTGTGTCGGTGGTAAGAGAAGAAAAGATGACATCAGTGTCGATAGTTTGGACTTCACTAAGAAGATCTTACACACAGCCTGGCACCCAAACGAGAACATCATTGCCATAGCAGCGACAAACAATCTGTACATATTTCAGGATAAAGTGAACTCGGATATGCACTAGAATTTTCAATTTCCCATAATTCCTCAGCCAGCCTTTCCAGGCGACTCACAATGATGACCTCTATTGGAAAGTCTTCTTTGTGGTGGAATTATTTTGTTTTTAATTGCATTGTACAGGTAAAAGAGGTGAAATTGTCTTCTGGTTTATTGATCATGGAAGGTCTTTTTTGTTGTTTTATCCTTTAAGGCCTATAACTTGTGCAGGGGAAACTCAATTGATGGGACTGCTTTGAGAAATTTGTCTATACTTATAATCGCCAAAGACGTTCAGGCAGCAGAGAGGCTTTTTTTTAGTATTACATAAATACATTGATTAATTATGTTTTATTTCTGTAAAATGCCAGTAAGCGTTCTGTGGCATGCTGCAAGAATAGTGCTGTCCAGCAGCATATCTACAACAGGTGGGGAAGGGATTTCCGGGTCCCTGAGGCTCACCAAGATTAATGGACTTCAATTACTATCATGTGTTTTGTAGGGGAAGCAGATCTAGGAGCTGAAATCTTGCAAAAATTATCCCAGTTATTGGTGTGCTATAGTTTACAACACCAGACAAAAGAGCTCTGAGAGAATGTGTCCACTTGAAGACATGGCTCATCATAATATGGGTTAACCATGTAAGAGAGGGGGGCTCCAGGATCTGCTTGGTGTTTTTCTAGTCAAATTGCATATTGGGCCTGTGCTTCAATGACATGCCACCATTTCTATTATTAAGTTTAAGGCACAAGATTGTCATCATGCTTAGAAGAATGACATAACTCGATGGGCCCTGGTATTCCTACAGACTGGGGTACTAGTACTACAGTGGCATCATTGCATGCCCATTTGGAAAATCCATAAATTAATTATGTACATTGGTAGGCTTATCTTGTCCAATATTTGTTGCAAGGCTTCCTGCATTATACTTGGCCTTATTTGTTAGACTGGCAGAAAGGAACAGTTATCTATGACAGTTTTTCGTTGCCCATAGTCATCAATCAGATTCTTCCTTTCACAGAGAATATTGCACAGGAAGAAGATTGATCTGATTAGTTCCTATGGGCAGCAAATCCTGCCTGAGACAGTGTTTCTGCTCTGACACATTTAGCCTTATGTCTTAGAGAACAACTGTCTGCTTTGCTCCATGGCCTTCAGTCGTGTTGAAATATATTCCCCAACTTGTATTTTTTTTAGAGCTGTTTTGAATCTGACTGGTAGATCTGAGGCACAGCAGGCAGTACTAATCTGAGACGTCCAAAAAAATAAGGCCTTTTGAAATGACATTGAATGTATGGAGGCCTGTACACTTTTTCCTATAGCAGACCATAGGGGTGAAGGTCATAGTAAATCATAGCCTCACAGGCTATAGTAACCCCTAGTGGCAGAGATCAAAGCACACCATAGGGCTCCCAGGTCATAGGAAACCATAATGACATAGATTATAGCACACCATAGGGTTTCCAGTTCATAGAAAACCCCAGTCACAGGCCATAGTGACATAGATCATAGTGGACCATAAGGGTGCAGGTCTGAAGCCGCAAACAATAGTAACAAAGATCATAGGAGACCATAGAGGTCGCAGGTCACATAGCAGACAGGGGTCTCAGAGGAAAGGTTGCAGTCAATCCAATGCCTCCTATAGTTCTGCTAGTTGGACTTGAGAAGCCTCCAGACACTACATAATAACCAGTGCAGACAGAGCATGCTTACCAAAATTTATTAACAGTTTTCTCACATACAGACATGGTTTTCTGAAGCCTTGTGCTTCAGAGGGCCATACTGCATTGTGAGTGGTAGCTATAGCCAATTAATTGCCCTGGATGTCAGATTGACAGGACCCAGTCACCATCAGGACCATTGCCATCTCTTTAGATGCGATAAAATGATCAGGGGCCCCTGGATAGTACCCACGTCATGTCGCTTCACATACATCTGCCTGATCAGCTACTGCAGTCACACATCTTCCATGATAATCAAATCACTGTTGCACTTGTGTGACTGCATTACATTATACTAAGATCTATTGTTATATCTCTTTCTTCTTCTTCATCTTCTTGCTTTATTATACCACTGATTTTACATGGTAATGTCTGGGATCCCACTGCCTCTGGTCTCCAGGCTGCTGTTCATACTGCATTGATTATGTATAATGTTTTGTCATTGTTGGAGATTTAGTTCCATAAAGGGCATGTCATCCTTCCCGTGTCAGTATTTACCATACAAGGAGGAGATATATTGGGGTTGATTTACTAAAATTGGAGAGTGCAAAATCTGGTGCATTGTGCATGATAGCCAATCAGCTTCCAACTTCAGCTTGTTCCATTAAGCTTAGTTTGAAAAAGCAGCTGCATTTATGCTCTGAGGCTTGACTTGGCCAGGGTTTGTATTCTTCCCATTTCCCATACATAGAAGACTCGCTACACTGTGTCCCATGTATGAAACTATGACAAATGAAAGTGCCTGCAGTACATATTGCAGTCAGTCAGGAAAAATATAAACTAAAAACTTACACAGACATTCCACTTCATACATAAGGCCCATCATTACAATTTTTTTTCCAGTAGCTGCACACTGAACCTTGGTTCACACCTTTGCGTTTTTTTCATGTGTTTTGCAGAAACGCACTACAGTCCATTTAACATGGTTTCCTATGGATCCAGTTCACATCTGTGCATTTTGAGCCATTTATTTTGTGGAAAGGGTCAGGAACTTTTTCTCCTGCAGCAGATTGTGTTTTGCGTGTAATAGACTTCAATGGACCCACACCAAAAATGCAAGTGATTTGTGCTTTTTTTTTGTCTAATAGGAAAATATGACATTTCTGTTCATGTAGCGTGACTTTAATGCGACTTTACACTCTCTGGCACTCAGGTAGCATTAAAGTAGTGCAGGCACCTTTATGTGTCCAAAGTTGCATTTTTTTTGGCTAATAGCAAAGTATTACAGTTCTGTCTATTTGTAGTGCGACTTTAATGCCACTTAGGTGCCAGAGCGTGTAAAGTCGCAGCAGAGTCGCACTACATGAACAGAACTGTCATACTTTCCTGTTAGACCCCCCTCTCCCAAAAAAATGCAAAATGCATTAAAAAAAAGTGTGTTCAATAATGCAGTTTGCACCGCAAAATGCTCCGGAAAGACCCATCAACCACAGCATGCATAGATGTGAACCTAGCCTGATAGTAAGAGTAAACCAGCAATCACTGTGTGTACACACGCTGGATTTGGTCTTTATGTATAAAGCTGTCTGAAGAAAGAACAGTTCATGATGTAGCACCAAACTGTTGCTCACGCATTGTCAAAATTGTGTTCCATGTAGCACCATCAAGTGGCACGAGGCATATTTCTTGTTTTCTTTCTTCAGTATACAGCAGGGAAGTAGCGTGATGACGCAGTATCTTCATCAATCTGCAAGATATACAGGAGAGTGCAGCCAATGATGGGGTGGGTTGTATCACAGTGGTTGGGGGAAGGGCTGTAGAATCAGATCTTCCTATTTATATTTCCAGTATAGGAGAACGAAAACAGCAAACATTTTGTTGTTCTCGGCAGCCAGAACTGTGCTTGCTTCAGACATAAATAAATGCAGCCTATTGCAGCAAATTTAAAAACTTCATTAACCATAAGCCACTATGTATTCTTTGGGGTCATGGAACTCAAAGTAGTTTTATAGTACATTTATTTGGTTGTACTTTATTTAAAAATCATTTAGGAAACTTCTACAAAGTAGACTATTAATCAGACCAACTCCACTTAAAATTGTGATTTCATCTTTGAACGGGCAAAGGTTTATTGGACCATTGGCTTCCAAAAACTTTTGAAGATACCTTTGGTAGTTTATTCCTTTGCAGTAGTCTGTCTTTTTCTTGTTCTCCTCCCTCAGAACTTGAACAATGGTGTCCTTCTGTTACAGATGTTCTCCCTAGTTATTGGCTCTGTTTACCTCCTGAAGAATTAACTTATGGACTGTGACCCCAATATTTGGCTTTGTAACACTCTCTAAAACCTGGGAATGCTGGTGGGGTTACTTTGTAACTGGAGTCTCTGAGAGATGAAATAAGCCATCAGCAGCTGCCCGAGTAAAAAACAGTTTTTGGTGGAGTTGGCCTTTAAGAGGCTTTCCAGGAGAGAATTAAACTCAAAGTATTTATGGATAGACTGTGATTTACAGCTCTTTGTTGAGCCCTCATCTGAAACCAGCCTTGTTGCATTGGATTGCTTGTTGGCGGAAATGCTGCAATAGCAGCCTATTCAGTTCATTATGGTAGCACCTCCTCCCAACAACTAGTCTGCCTTTGAAAACCTGGCCATATATTTTAGAATCTGTACATTCTTGTTGAGATTTACCGCAACTATGTGTATATGTAATATGAAGTCAACAACAATCCATTCAATGTGTATCAAATCAAACAGGCCATTGTACTACATAGTTGATGGTAGATCTAAAGAACTTATAATATTTGCTAATATTAGATAGGGGCTTAGACTTTACAGAGCACTTGGCCCCTCCATGGAAGAACTAAGGGCTATAAATCACTGAACAGCCAACCTACATAAGGGGACTTTAACACTTTCCTGGCAACCATCTTTTAAGCAGTTTGAGGAGAAATATTCTGTAGATGAAAGACGGATTAATAACTTCAGATTTATCAGATCATTTAGGATCTGTACCTAGATACCACAACATGCATGAATCATAGTCTATCAAGAATGTGTCATGTTTCTCATAGTCTTCAACATACAGATAGTATAATGCTTTATTTTTCCAAGAACGGCTTACCACAAAGTACACATCCTCAAGTCCATCAGTGCATGTATAGATGTTTCCACTGATGGTATTCTGCATAGCCACATGCATAGGTATCATTTTAAATGAATTGTTGCATTAAATAACTGATCAGTGCATACAAACTGCAATGTTTCTCAACAAAAGTCTGCAAATGTGACTACCACTTGAAAAATATAATTATTTGTATGTGACTAAAACAAATTTCCATTGTGATGGCAACCAAAAAGAACAGCAGAATG